TCGCCCGTCCGGACGGGTCTTCCTTGTGGACATTCGGCTGGGGTTGGGGAGCGGCATGGCCTTTGGACTCACACCGTCTCCGCTCGGCCGCTGTTGGTTGTTGACTTTGGGCAAATAACTTAACATCTCTAAAGTCTGTTCCCTACCCCTGGAGGGGGGCCGAAGCTGCCCGTGCCCGAGAAGCCGTTTCATTTCGCAGACATGGTCTGTACGCGGCAGGATTTAATCAATGCCGTACTGCAGCCACCTCTTGACTCACCTCTTTGTGGCAGGAAAGTTGCCCAATTAACGATGAGCTCAGTGACTAAGGATGGGCTGGTGTACACACAGGCTCTGAAATCTGCTCTGCCGCGGGATCTTGGGTAAATTACTTGTTTCATTTCTGTTGGGGCAATCCTTGTCTCATAGTAACTGTGAGGATGGAATGGGTTACTACATCTCATGGCACACATAAACCAATTACTAAAATTCTAGGGCACATAAAAATGTTTTTTGCCGATCTGACAAAAATAGGTATAATTTTGATTCAGTCACACTGGACGGCTATTGCGTTCACTGTTGTCATTTTAAAAATTTGACAACCTAGCCAGGTATTGCATGTTTTAAAAGTTCTTGCGGCACACCGGTTGGAAATCACTGACCTGAAGCACTGGAACCTTACCTGGCATCTAGTAAGTGCTCAATAAATGCCCGCTACTGTTATCCTGGCTTCCTGGGGGGGGGGGGGGGGGGGTGCCGGGGGGAGGGGGGGGGGGGGGGTCAGAGCTCTGGTGGTTATTCTGCCTTCCATCCCAGTGATACAGACTTCTGTGCTTATTCTTGTAAAGCATTAGGTTTGGGAACCAATATTTATATAGATCGATTAGAGAGACAGGGATTATGCAAGTTTATTTGGGAGACAAAGACTGAAAGAGAAAGTCTCAGAGAATAAAGGCACAGTGAGAGGGGAAAAAGCAAAGACATAAAATAAGCAAGGGTAATTGCTTTCATTTCTAAAGATGTTATTTGGTTGGTAAAAACACGATAAAACAGAGTAAGTTGATAATGTTCATTTTATTTAAATATATCTTTAAAGGCATAGCAGTGATCAGTGAAGAAGAAAGCCCAGGTGTGGGAAAACTGCTACTCCAACCAAGAAAGTAACACACAGGCAAGACACATCTAAGTTAGTGAAAGGTCAGCCGCACCAGTCCTCACATAAGAGAAAACGCAAGAGAAAAGGAAATTCAGATCCCAAGGGTTAAACTCCAAAGGTGGACAATTGCTTGCATTTACTGACAAGCTGACCATGAATTCCAGGTAAGGTTGAAATTTTTCTTGTTTCTTGGTTGGTCTCTCTCAGCATATATTCCATTATGTATTGAAAATTGTTAGAACCACAGACTCTCAGAGGCCATCCAACTGAACTGACTACTGATCTGCACTGTTTCTTTCATAATTTAAAGGTTAATAGTCTCTCACAAGCATCTTTTTTCTCTGTAAAATGTAACCTTAAAAGTTTTGCTGATATGTGACTTGATCCCTGTAGGCACATACCATTCATTTTAAAAGCGTAAACAGGTAGAAAGAGGACCCAGTATGTACACGCTCAGCACCAATTTAGCGGTGTGTACACTCTGCTCTTTGCTATACCGTAGATGACCTGGATTTTTCTAGTGTACTCTGGACATATTACCTAGTCTGTCAATATTGTCCTTCAAATTGATAGAAAGCAGGGACTGGGTGATGTTCTTGCAATTAATTCTACACAGAGATGCATACAGATGATGAATGAAGCCTCGTGTGGTGACCTGCCAGTGTTCTCCGAGGACTAAATGCTGAGCCTCAGAAACTAGAGCAGCCATCCTTTTGTCAACAGATCGCCAAGGGCCTCGGGACAGGGGATAAGAGATATGCATCGCTGCCCAATTTTACTGGATTTCAGCCCTTTATGCTGCTGCCAAGATGAGTCTTCTGAGTCCTGACCTTTTCCCCCTGGACAACTTTACCATTTTGTATATCTCAATGAACAGTTTGGTTCTTACCTGGGAATAGCTATCCTAGATGAGCAAAATTATCACTCATGCCCAACCTACTGGCCCTTTCTCCTGCCTCCAGTAGTGCGATATACAAACAAAGCCTTCATTTCACAAAGATAATCAATTTCCTAGGAGAAGAGGGTCAGTGAAAGCCCTGCAGAGAAAAGGCCTGAACTGGGTTTTGCCAGGTGAATGGGTGGGGCATTCCAAGCAGCTCAAGGAGGGCCTTGGACAGCTAGGGGCCTGTATTCCCAGCGGTTTCCCCACCCTTCCAATACCCCTGGAGTATCACTCCCAGCAGTGACTCGGAGTGCTAAAGGACTGGGGTGCCTTCTCGGAGAGGTATTAAAATACAGGCAGTAGGCCTTTTAGAGGGGGGCTGCAATCTTCTCTCCACTACAACAGAAGAGATCCTCTGAAGTTTTTAAATAAAAGAATAGCAGGATTCAATCTTAGAAAAAATGACTTCTAAATACAAATATGTAGCCTGGCTGGTGTGACTCAGTGGTTGAGCATCAACCCATGAACCAAGAGGTTCCTGGTTCGATTCCCAGTCAGGGCACATGCCCGGGTTTTGGGCTCAATTCCCGGTGGTGGGTATGCAGGAGGCAGCTGATCAATGTGTCTCTCTCATTGATGTTTCTATCTATCCCTCTCCCCCTTTCTCTAAAATCCGTAAGTATATATTTTTTAAAAATATAAACATGTATTTCCAGTTCCCTAATGGAAATATCTACTGGAAAGTCCTGCAAGTTCTCAAATATTTGTATGAGATACCCAAAAATCTGCACATAAAGCATACAATTTGATCAGTTTTGACACATGTATACATGTAATAAACTATGACCACAATAAAAATTAACATCTTTATCACCCCAAAAGTTTCCTTGTACTTTTTTTGGTTATAAATATGTTTTCATTGATTTCAGAGAGACGAAGGGAGAGGGAGAGAGAGACAGAAGCATCCACGATGAGAATTGATTGGCTGCCTCTTGCACACCCTCCACTTGGGATGGAGCCCACAATCTGGGTATGTACCCTAATTAGGAATCAAACTGTGACCTCCTGGTTAATAGGTCAATGCGCAACCACTGAGCACAACTGGTCAGGCTCCTTGTACTTCTTTGTAATCCATCCTCCTTACTACCATCCCCACCACTGGTCTTCTTCCTGTCATTGTAGACACGAACATGCCTCCCCCCAAACTGGGCCCATCAGGGTCTTTCTCCAGGGAATCTGGATCTGGAAAGGACACAGTGGCAGAAGGGGGCTGAAGCTGTCCTCCAATGGCAACTGCCTAGAGCAGCGGTTCTCAACCTGTGGGTCACGACCCCTTTGGCGGTCGAACGACCCTTTCACAGGGGTCGCCTAAGACCATCCTGCATATCACATATTTATGTTACAATTCATAACAGTAGCAACATTACAGTTATGAAGTAGCAACGAAAATGATTTTATGGTTGGGTCACAACATGAGGAACTGTATTTAAAGGGCCAGAAGGTTGAGAACCACTGGTCTAGAGGGACAATCCACACATTCATGCTACAGGTATCTGTGGGCTGGTTCTTGCCTTCTGCAACTTGTTTTTTCAGTTCTATGAGCTGCCTAATATCCTTCTAACATATCCTTTATTGCTTAATTGTGTCTGTTGCTTGCAAACATAGGACCCACATACACTTCACTTCCTCCTATAGTCACCATTTCAGGGAACGGCATCATGAAATTCTAGTCTCTCAAGCCTAACCTAGAATAAATCCTTAAAACTTGAGTCTTTATCATGTGTCATCTTCTAACACATTACATCCTGCCCATTCTTCTCCCTGCTCAATATTCTGTCTCTATAAAATTCTTACTTGTTCTACTCATTATTTCTCTAGTACCTAGTACAGTGCTTGGCACTGAGCAGGTTCTCAATAAATGCTTGCTGAGTGATTGAACAAAAGGTGATATTGTCCATCACCCTTAAAAACAAAAACAGAGGGATGGATGAGTATTTATATGTGTGCGTGTTTACCAGGGTGGCAAGACTAAGTTAGCTTTTAATGTATCGCAGAAGCAAGTAATACAGCTGAACCAGGACTTTTGATTCCCAATTCCTTGCCATTTCCATTATATTATTATACTTTGTACCCTTTTCCTTGGAGTTCCGTTTCTTCTTCCATCCTGCTCAGGTCCTTACTTCACCAAGTACCAGACTATTAACACTAGATAGAACTCTAATGTAACCCCATTCCAAGGGTATTTGCTTGTTAGCCAAGGGTAGGGGGTAGGTGCATGCAGTAGAGTACCTAGATCAATGGTTCTCAACCTCTGGCCCTTTAAATATAGTTCCTCATGTTGTGACCCAACCATAAAATTATTTGTGTTGCTACTTCATAACTGTAATGTTGCTACTGTTATGAATCGTAATGTAAATATCTGATATGCAGGATGGTCTTAGGCGACCCCTGTGAAAGGGTCGTTCGACCGCCAAAGGGGTCGCAACCCACAGGTTGAGAACCTCTGATCTAGATTGAGGAGCCTGTAGCCCAGTGGTACTCAACCTTGGCTGCACATTAGAATCACCTGGGAATCTTTTTAAAATCCTGATTTCTGGGTCTCATCCTCCGGAAATTCTATTTCTTTGTTATGAGGTGGGGCCACAACATTTAGTAACAAAGAAACAGAATTTCCAGAGGACGAGGCCCCGAAATCAGGATTTTAAAAAGATTCCCAGGTGATTCTAATGTGCAGCCAAGGTTGAGAACCACTGCTGTAGCCCACGGCATCGTCAAATAGTTAAAGCCAGAAGGTCAAGTGAGCTGGAGGTCATGGATGCGACTAAAGATTTCTGAACCCAGAGAAGCAATAACCTTGCCAACTCGGAAAACAGTGTGCTGGACTGGGACAGCCTCCCTGTGTCAAGCAAAGACTCCATACATAGAATAAAGCTTTATTTAACAATCTGAAAATATGTTCTTTTGGCTTTAAGTCTTGAAAAATGAGTGGTAAATCCAAGATTTGTTTCCTATTCTCTAGTATGTATGGTTGTGTGTATGCATCTATAGATGCTTTTGCTTGTTATAGTCATTTTAGCCCCACTTTATTTAATATATAAAGTCTTATTATATAACAATGCTAAAGTCTGAATTAAATAATCCCTGAGTCTAACAATCTCTTCTTCCAAGCCTGTCTGCCTCCCTCCTTCCCCTAAGTCTGCTCCTCAGCCTCCATTAATGCCAGATCTTTAGAGACAACCAGCATCCACTTTGAGAACCTAGAAATGAATGTTAGACCTTCAGTCTCTGTGCTTATATACCCTCTAGCTGAAGAATCTCTCTGGGAGATGTACATATGCGGGAGGTCTTGGCAGTTACTCTTCAGAGTTGTGCACTTTGAATTGTAGATACCTGGAAAGCAAACATGATTGCATTAGATGCTCACCTGTCCTCCCACCAACCACTCAATGAGGGTAAAAACTCAGTTTGCTTCTATCAAACTATATTTCATGTCATGTAATATTGAGGGAAGTGAAGCTGGTTGTTGGGATTATTGTCAAAACGTTTTGCAGATACTGGTCATTGCATCCTTCATCATCTCTTTACAAGGATTCACAGGAGAAATTTCCTTTTCATCTTAGTAGCAGGAGTCGTTTGAAGGAATGGCATCATGAATTGGGTGCACTGATCAGATTTTTCTCTTCTTGGATGTTTAGAAAGTCTGGAACCAATTTTGTGACCCATCCTTAGTAAGTCTATTTCATAGAATGTATTTTTCTATTTGCCTAATTCATCACGCCATTTTATGTCACTGTCATTAATATATTTGAGTTACTTTGCTATATTTTGTGTGTGTATATATATTTGCCTTTTTGTATGTAATTTCTTTTTCTTTTTGAAATAAGTTCAGAAATAAATAAGTACTTGGGAGATAGGACTATGGTGAGAGTTCAAGGCCAAGTGTCGGGGAATGGACACCCCAAACTCACAATGTCCTAGTTTATGCTTGGTTCCCCTGTTCCCACCTGCTTGACTTTGCTCTAAGGATACTGTTCACTGCTGGGTTCCCCAGCAGCCATGGTGAAGATTCTAATCTGTAGTCAAACTTCTGTGCACTCCCAGTGACCGATCTTACCACCCATCTTGGTCTCTGTGTATCTGTCCACCTTACCTCTTCTTGAAGCTCAGGTGCTGCGACATTGCTGTCTTCTGGAACCACGGAGGCATGACGCCGGAGACCTTGGCTCTATAAAAAGAAGAGTTCTGCCAGTGAGAGGTGGCTCAACCTCCCCAGCCTCTCAGCTTAGAGGGGTCTTCTGTGCCTTACACTCTACAGGGTCACAGACAATACAAAGGGTAAACACACAATGTTGTTTCACTACAGCCTGACGGCACCAGGGAAGGCTTTACTGTCACCCTCTTTCACAGGTCAAGATACCAAGATTCAGAGGGGGAAATGACTTGCTGAGACAGGTATCCAGGTCTTTGGGCTCTAGAGTTGTTTCCATAATCAACTCTAGACACTGTAATTTGTGTAACATGCATCAGTATGTATGTCTATGTGGGAGTCTGTGAGGATATAAATATAGGTCTTAAGAACACTACCTACTACTTTTAGACTAACTCTCCTTAAGAATACACTGCAGGTAACACACTGAGATGATCCTAATCTATGGCAGTTAGGAGAGGCAAGTGGTATAATGTTTTCTTTGGGAAAAGTTCTAGGTTCTGCAGTAGGAACCCAAAGTGTGAAAAGCTCTGTCTAGGAGCTGCTAAGCCAGGAGAAGGCCTTGGAACTCTACAATTAAGAATTTATTTATTGATTTTTTTTTTTTTTTTTACAGAGAGGAAGGGAGAAGGATAGAGAGTTAGAAACATCGATGAGAGAGAAACATCGATCAGCTGCCTCCTGCACACCTCCTACTGGAGATGTGCCTGCAACCAAGGTACATGCCCTTGACCGGAATCGAACCTGGGAACTTTCAGTTCGCAGGCCGATACTCTATCCACTGAGCCAAACCAGTCAGGGCAAGAATTTATTTATTTTTAATTGAAATTTAATTCACACTATAAAATTCACCCTTTTAGAGTAGAACAAATTTCTATCAGTATGACAGCTACTTGAAATTTTCTGACTTTTCCTTTTAGGAAAATTTTCCTCTATTCTCTCCTCTGATTTCAGGCCAGGAATTACCTGAAAGGTAATACTACCTCCCAGAAAGTTATCATCCTCTCACAGGTATTTCAAATGCTAAGCAAGAACAAATTTCTTCATAGTGATCTTTTTTTTTAAAATATATTTTATTGATTTTTTACAGAGAGGAAGGGAGAGAGATAGAGAGTTAGAAACATCGATGATGAGAGAAACATCGATCAGCTGCCTCCTGCACATCTCCTACTGGGGATGTACCTATAACCCAGGTACATGCCCTTGACTGGAATCGAACCTGGGACCTTTCAGTCCGCAGGCCGATGCTCTATCCTCTGAGCCAAACTGGTTTCGGCATAGTGATCTTTTTTATATGTGATCCATTTTATATGTGATGTGCCCATAATTCTGCTTGAGAAAAAATACGATTTATGATGTATCTGCAAGGGAAGGGAAGTAAACAGATCTTGTAGGACAAAGGTTTCAGAGGATTGATGACACTGATAGGCTAGGATCTAAGATGCTCTAGCTGCTTAATTCCATAGGAAAAATAGGTTTCCTTAGCTGATGACCAAAGCAATCCCACAGGAAAGGCTGTGAGTAAACACTATAATTCTCAAAAAAAAACAAAACAAAAAACAGTAACACTGTAATTCTCAAATATAAGGAGGTCGCCTCAGGGGAAAGGAGGTTGTGTCTTGTACCTCTTTCCAAAGGAGAACAGTGTGATTAGCCTGTTCTTCAAAATAGACAGCAGCATCTTGGTCCCCATAATCTCCCTTTCAATAAGATTACTCCAAGAATGAAAATTTGTTTTATTATTCATCAGAGCCAAAAAGCTCACATTATTGCAGCCTCCATACTACAATCATATATTACAAAGTCAAATATAAATTAATTTTGGATTTCCCATATTGTTGAGTTACTCTTCTCAGTGCAGAAATGTGAGAAGTGGCTATACTTGATTCGAAATCCCACAATTACCCTGGGCTTCTTCACTATCCACATGCCCCACATCTCTCTCTCTCAGCATAGTGACCTCACACCAGAAACCAGTCAAGAGAAAGTTTTATATCTTGCTCTGTTAGGACCTTCAATACCTCATGGGAATCAAGTCTCAGGGCATAATAATGTTGATGACGTAGATTTTAGTACCTCAAGGGAGTCAGCCAAGATGAGCTTGTTCTCTTCTTCGTCTTCCATCTTACTTGCCTTGTCAGATTCTGAAAAAACCTGTAGATCAAAGAGGACAACATAGAAGAAAGTTCCAAACCTTCACACCCTGGATACCACCCTGGTGCCTGTTGTTCATGTTAACTCCTCTCAGATAGCGGGAGGCTCCCAAGGTATCGTGGTCAACCTTCCTTAGGCACAGGCAGTGATAGGGCAGTGTGATCTGAGGGGTACCAGAAATCTCATACTCCCAGACAGCCACATGGGTTGTGCCCTGGCCTCTTTCATTGCCCCAATGTCACCTTCTCTGGCCACTCTCTGTTTAAAATCGCAATTCAGCCCCAATTCCCTACTTAATTTTTCTCCATATCTTTTATTACCACTAATTATAATTTTACTTATTCTGTTTTGTATTTATCTTCTCCCCTCCTCCAGTAGGACATAAGATGCAGGAAGGCAGGGAATTTTACGCTTTGTTCACTGTAATACCCCACTTCCTAGGAAAGTGCCTGGTACATCGTAAGGAATAAGTAATTGTGGAATGCGTGAATGAATGAATCTTGGTACCATACAGTCAGATGTCTCACCCAAATCCTCCCTACACTGCACCTGACAGATGATCATATATCTTAGCTTTTAATATCAAGGAAGGAGAACTATTTGTCATGGTGGCCCATCACATTTTGTTGTTTAGAAGCCCCTTGTGTCCCTTTCTTTTATATATATATATAATATTTTTATTGGTTTCAGAGAGAAAAAAGTAGAGGAAGAGAGGCCTAGAAACATCAATGATAAGAGAGAATCACTGATCAGCTACCTCCTGCACACCTACTGGGGATTGAGCGGCAACCCAGGTATGTACCCTAATGGAATCAATCGTGGCCTCCTTCCTGGTTCATGCACTGACGCTAAACCACTGAACCATACTGGCCGGGCACCCCTATATTTAAAAACATTTTTTCCATACCATTTTTTAACTAAGCTAATTGCTAAAAGTTCCCCTGGGATTGATTCAAAATGAACTTTAAAAAATCTTTATTATACATAGGGCCTAGTTCTGCCCTCAGGAATCTCATAGAATACATCAAATCTCTCTGTGATAGCCTTTCCATCTGAATAGAATATGACTTGATTGCTAGATTCTTCACAGACCTGCTTGTTCTCCAGAGGGGCTGTGTCTCTATTTTAACACCATTCTTTTCTCATCCACATTCTCATCTGTCAAAAAAGCCTATCTTTTTTGCTTTCCTTCCTCTCTGAGTTCCTCCTAGATCTTTCTTATCAATGAAATGATTCTTTGCCAATTTGGTTGAGATCTATTTATCACAGTCACAAGTATGACAAACTGAAGTGAGACCCTCTTCCCTACCCCCTATTCAAAAGTTAAAGCTCAAGATGTCAGGTATAGATTCTTTATTGGAACTCCCCAAACTTGTAGCAAAAAAGAAAATTAGTAGAAATCTTTCATAATATTATTAGAGATAAGCCCTTTGTAGAAGTCAAATACCCTAAGAGTACAGGTCAGTAAATTAATTGCTCTGGAGATGTGAAATAATCCCCAGAACAACAAAAAAGGTGGTCAAGAGTATCCTTGAGACTATAATATGACAAAATCTGATTAACTGTGGGACAACCTGGCCATAGTAAAGAGGATCTACAGGGAGGTTATAAAAGAGAATAGAGATTTAATCAGATGCACACTCACCTGAGGGATCACCGAGGTGGGGGAAGTACAAAGATCTGGGTTCAGATTGTCGGTGTTTTCCTTTTTCAGATGCTGCAGGACTGGAGGGTATGTTCCCTGAGGGGGTTCTGGAGCTGGGAGTGGCTCTGGGTGGAGGAGGCCTATTAGGGGGTGCTGAGGTCCTCTGGACAGGGGCTCTCTTCTTTAGTTGTTTAGACCCTTCACTTGAGGTTCGGGTTCGGAGGACAACTTCTGGGAGAGATGCAGGCTGCTCTGAAGGGATCAGGGCTCTGCCTGGGGATGGATCTGGGGAGCTAGAGAAAACTTCCTCCTGGGACTCGGCACCCTCAGTGGGCTGGGGAGAAGAGGGCTGGGCCTGGGTAGGGCCATTGCAGGCCGGCAGGGGCTCTTCCTCCTCAGAGGCGTTTGCTTCAGCCTCTTCTTTCTCTATTTCCTTTTCTTTTAAGGGCTCTTCTTTAATCTCAGTGTTGTCTTCTCCCTGAGCTGGATCCGACGTTAGCTCTTCTTCACTTGCTGAGATGGAGTCCCTCTCACTTGTCAAGGAAAGTGTAGAGGGACTGGTAGGTGAGGTAGGTGGGCTGGAGACTGTAGATGTTCGAACTGGGGAAGAGATGACTAAAGAGCGTCTGCTGCTGCTAAAAAATGAAGGACATTCAGGTTCAGAAAAGCAAAAAAAATGGAA